GTACCAGAGCTGGTTCTTAGCATGACGACATGAGAAGCAGCCATGCTTCTGTGCTCCTAGCTCCTGAAGACTTGTAAAATTTTCATTAATTTAGCAAGTGTGTCAAAAAGGCTGAGCAGGACCATCAGATCATCCCCCCAGTAATTTGTTCTACAAAGTAGAAATTAGGAATGTGTGATATGGCATAAAATTCATATCACGATATGTATTGTGAAGGGTGGCGATAACGATATATATCGCAATGTTTTGGGTATAAAACTTGCTAAAAAAAAAAAAAAAAAAAAAAAAGCATAGGGTGTCCTTTTGCCATTATATATTTTGAATTAAGAAAATTCCACTACTAGGTCCAGAGAGTTTTTAAACAATAAACAAATCAAGTATCAGGCTTCTTTCTTGTGCAAAACAGTGCAAAATATATCAAATGTAGTTTTAGCCTTATGTTTCAAACAAAAAAATATGTTGTTAACTCTTAACAGTTTCCAGTCTTACTTAAGAAATGAACAGCAACGGAGCAGCATTTTACACTGAAACACTTCATCCTCCAAACCTCTAGTGGGCGCCTCCTGCTTTAATGGAGAGCTGACACAAAATGAGTGTGGCTTTGACCAGAGGGTCTCGCAGTAAAATAACACAACACAGCGTTCTTTTCACAGATCAGAGAGCAGGCTTCTCTAAAGCTGACCAACGCTTACTTTAACTTTCGATGGAAAAAAAAACAACTTTCAACAGAACACAGCGTCAGAATACGGCAACACTACAGCAAGCCGGCTGTAGTTAGCTTGTAGCTTAGCTACTTAGCTCTCAAAGAAAAGACTTTTAACGCCACTTGCGCGCAGTTTTTAACTCAAAAAAGGTAACGATTAAATCTGACAGCTCTGATTTTACCCTTGAACACCACTTATGCAGTTTTCAACAAACAAAAGTAACGATTAATCTGACAACTCTGATTTTACTTCAGACACAGCATTACTGCGGTTAGCCGGTAGAAGACAGATCCCTATCGTAGGCTAAATTTCTATCGTTTCTACCGTGTACCGTTTATATCGCGCATTCCTAGTAGAAATGTTATTTAATTTGATGAATATGCTCTTCAACTCGGTGTCTAAACAAAAGTTGAAGCAATGGTCTAAACCACAAGGAGTCCTTGAGTGGTACAGACCCATCTACACTTGTCCAGCAGGAGCTCAATGATCAATCAGAGATCAATCACTCTGCACACCAACACGTACCTTGGGCATTCGGGACATGCCTCCCACCAACAGCACCTCACCGATGTCTCCTTTGGACACCTCAGCATCCTGCATGGCCTTCTGACAGGGTGCCACGGTGCGGCGGACCAGTTCAGCCACGATGCCCTCAAACTGAGCACGGGTCAGTTTCATGTTGAGATGTTTTGGACCAGAGGCGTCCATGGTCAGGTAGGGGAGGTTGATGTCGGTCTGAAAGAGGACACACACAGGACTGAGTGAGAACTGCAACAAAAGCCCAACACAGGGACTTCATCTGCCGGGTTTACTGGGCCTCATGTTCTCCTCAGGGGGAGGACTACCTGCAGTGAAGACGACAGCTCACACTTTGCCTTCTCAGCAGCTTCTCTGACCCTCTGAAGAGCCATGTTGTCCTTCATGAGGTCCACACCAGACTGCAAAGATAAAAGCAGCATGAATCAAACCATTAGAGACAGGAACTGACACAAGTCTGGTGTGTGTGTGGGGACTGCACACCTCTCTCTTGAACTCCTTCACTATGTGTTTGAGGAGGTGTTGATCGAAGTCCTCTCCTCCCAGGAAGGTGTCACCATTGGTGGATTTCACCTCAAAGACTCCCTTCTGGATCTCGAGGACGGAGATATCAAAGGTGCCTCCCCCCAGGTCATACACAGCGATGCTGCAAACATTCAGACAGTCCATGAACAGGAGAGCATCACAAACACACAGCCATCGCATAACGTTTGACCTTGATTTGTGACCTTGACCTTCGAGCTGGCGTGTGTGTGTGACAGTGTGTGTAGTGATGATGATGAATGTCAGAAGTTTTGTTCAATGATCTTGTGCAGGTCAGGAGACAGTTTACAGACTATCCCATAATGAGTCCATGTTTTCTCTTCAGCTGAGCTCTACAGAGACACGTCTCCGTCCACTCACATCTTGTCCTGGGTTTTGTCAAGGCCGTAGGCCAGAGCAGCAGCAGTCGGCTCGTTGATCACACGCAGGACGTTCAAACCGGCGATCTGGCCGGCGTCTTTGGTGGCCTGAGAACAAACAGAAGGATAGAGTTGGGCCGTCTCCAGTAAATCAAAACATTTCCTGTTCAACCAGCAGAGACGTTTCAAACAGGCTGTCCTTAAATCCAGCAGAGTGTCTGGAGCTCTAGTTCTGACCTCTGAGTCAAGGCCAGTCAGCTGTAAAGTCATCGTGAACCACGCACGCTCTGAAGGAGCTGCACTAAACTCATCCCGTTGAGATTTTTGCTGACACAGCTGAAAACACATAAAACATCTGTCCAGTTGTTTGTACAGCTGGTCTAAATCAAACCCATGGTTTCGAGGAAACAGACAATAATCCAGGGCTGGATTACTGCAACACATTCATCTGGGGGTTAGTGATCCTCCAGGACCTCCTGCAGAGGGTTCAACATGCTGCTGCACGACTTAACTGGCACAGGTAAACACGAGCACACCTCCCATATCCTCCCCCCATGGCTGCTTAAACATTTTAGGATCCTTTTAAATATCTTTGTTTTAAATGTTTGATGTAGCCCCACCCCATCCTTCTGAAGTGATGCTCCCTACAACACACTCACTCAGATGAGCTGCAGCTCTTGAGGGTCCATAAAACTAGACTCAAGACCTGGGGGGGGTGGGGAGACGACTCATCCATCTCAGACAGACCTCTATGTTGGTTTTTAAACTCTTGAAAACATTTTTCTGTCTTTCAACACTTGGTGAGGTAAATTTCTCTGATCTCATCTAAAAAAGTTAAATCTGGTCCTCTGGACATTCAAAAAACAAAACGAAGCAAAATAAACAAACCAAAAAAAAAAAAAAGTAGAAACGTTTCGTCTTCCATCCGAAAGACTTCCTCAGTCTGAGCTGCTGTATTCAGCTCAGTCTCTTATGCCCCTTTTCCACCGTCACGGCGCGGGTCGGATATTTCCGGGTTGAAGCGCGTTTGAGGTCTTTCCACTGTTCCAGAAACCGGCTCGCCTCGCTAAATTCTGGCCCGGCTTCTCAAGGGTTCCGAGCGAGCCGCGCCGTGACGTCAGAAACACCGTCGGTCACTGATTGGTCGGGGGGAGGAGTCTGTGGAGTCTTTCCAAACAACCCGATCCACCATTTTTTCTCTACCGCTTGCCATTAGCGATAACACAAGGAGCGTATCTTTTAGTATTTTGAAGCTATACAACAACAATAATATCAAAGCTGTGGTCAAATGCAGAAGTGCAGGTGTTGTTCTGCTTGGTGGCCGACGAAAAAAGTCAAAGCGAGCTAGATGGAGGATTGGAGGGTGGTTTGGACACGACTACTGCTCTACTTGAACCATTTATAGAAGATGGTGAGTGTTTTCTAACTTTAAACATATTTTAAATTACTCATCCCATCCGTTCTGAACATATTTTTAACTAACAAAAGAGGCTGACGCCATAATAGTACAACGTCGGTGCTACGATGCTAAGCTAATTTGCATAAATGCTAACTGTCCTCCGGTCCCGTTTCTCACTGTATTTTATCCAGAACGTATTTCAGCGCGTGAAGGTTCATCTCTAAACTCCACATTAAACCCTCCAAGCCTCCCGGCTCCTGCTCCATCAGAGGAGTCTACACCTGACAGGTCTCCATCAGAGGAGTCTGCACCTGACAGAGCTCCATCAGAGGAGTCTGCACCTGACAGGTCTCCATCAGAGGAGTCTGCACCTCACAGAGCAGCACAACGCTGCAGCTTCTGTGCTCGGTAAGAACAGATGCAACTGTTCCACATCAATTTATTTGTGCCGATAAGGACTTGATTTATTTTATTTTTAAAGTAAAAAACTAAAATGTTGAATAAATACTGAATTGGGATGAAATTATGTACACAGGGTCCCAGTTACAGACAACAAAATGTAAAATAAAAACAGTAATAAGATCTAAGATATGAATTAAGAAAAATATCAACTAAAAAACATCTACTAATAAAACACTAAGCACTAATAGCAGTAAACAATCAAAACAATACGTCAAACAGCAACATGAACTTGAGTTTGTGCAGCCTCATGAATATATAACACTGTGAAGAATCACATCATGTAGCTGCTGATCAGTTTCATGTTGCTGCTGATCAGTTTCATGTTGCTGCTGATCAGTTTCATGTTGCTGTGTTCATTCGTGCTCATCAGTTCACACAGACTCATGTCCGTGCTGCTGTTCTGCGTATTGTGTTTAATGTTTTTATGCTATTAGAGCTTATCATATTTTTAGTTGATGTTTTTATTAGTTCATATCTTAGATCTTATTACTGTTTTTCTTTTATATTTTATTGTTGGATGTAACTGGGACCCTGTGAACATAATTTTGATCCACCACATGTACCACATGTGGTGCGAATGACAAAGAATATCTGCATCTGTATAATACTTTCTGATTCATATATCCATTATTATCATTTTCATTATTTTTAAATCAATTTATTTTTCATTTTCTTATTTGATCAGTTTATTATTATTAATATATCTATTATAGCTGTTAGCAGCACCTTTCTTTGTTTCATGCATTTATTCTAAAACAGTATGTAGCTTGAATTAACCACCATTTTCTTCTTTCTAGTCAAGAGAAAGAGAAAAGAGTCCAGTAAAGAAAAGTCTTATTTCATCACTGAATGAACATGAAGAACTGAAGCGGACACAGCAGGAACAACACTTGTGTCTTCTTCTGGATGAAGCCCGTGAGACAAGGGACAGACACAATCATTAGTTGGACGCAGTAGTTTTTATTTTTGTACATTTTTCACTTCTTACTTTTCATATTAAACAATTTTTTTCTTAAGTGGTGTCCTTGAACATTAAATTTCCTAAACAAATTTTACAATGTTAAGTTCATATAGTGTTTGTTTAAATTCATACTGGAAGTTGAGAAGAATTTCCAATTGCATTTGATCTTTAATGAATCCTAAGAAAAGATTACCAGAATCTGCTCAACTGTTATTATGTTATAAATTTTTGGTTCTAGGATGAAGTGACACAAAAACAGTCAAAAATTCAGAAAGGACAGTTATCAATTATCAGTCATCAGTTATCTTTTAGCAGTTATCGTTTATCGTCCGTACAACTGTGGCCCGAGAGATTCAGCTAAAAGTCCTGGTGCACCTTTTATTTGAACCTGCAGAGATTTGAACAGCTGATCTGAAGCAAACAGGCAGGAGTTCACCTGAACTAACCACTCCTGCTGTTTGATGGTATCCTCCTTCGCCACCCGTCCGTCCGTCCATCCATCCATCCATCCTCTTCTGCTTCAGGGTTGTGGGAGCAGCATCTTCACCAGGGAGGCACAGACATCAACAGCCTCCTCTTCAACTCTTCTAGGACCCCATGGTGTTCACAAAGCAACTGACTATTTATTAATTAATATCCTGATGCTGCTCAATAATCCAGGTAGAAAAATCTAAAAAGTTAAGTCTGGTCCTCTGGACATTCACAAAACAAACAATACAGTTTATAATAAATAAACTAAATGTTTTTTGTTAGTTTTGTTTTTTGAATGTCCAGAGGACCAGACTTTTTTAGATTAATAAGTAATAAATTTATGTTTTAATTTAATGAAAGACAAATCTTTAAAATTCAAGGACAAAATTTAATCTAATTGTTTTCAAGTCTGTATCTTATTGTAAAAGCAGTTTCAAAGATTACAGCACAGTGTGATGTTTTGCAATTTTAACATGAACCTTGTGCATATCTGTAAATAATAAAAGTAAAGATATTTTTAATACATCTTTATTGTAAAAATCTATACTAAAATGAAAAACACATGGGTTTAAAGCAGCAGGGAAGGCAGTAAGGTAGGATTATGAATCAGGTCTAAAGTTACAGCTCATGAGGTACTCCATCAGAGCATGACATCTTTTCCACAACATCGTGTGACAAAACCTTCAGGGTGTTCTTCTTCTAATACGTTTAGTGGTGGCTAGTAAGTAGCTTAAGGGAGCACTACCGCCACCAGGTGGTAAGACGAGTTGGATTCTAGTCCCCGCCTACAGAGCCGGTCCAGAAGTGTAAATGGAAACGCAACAGACCCGAACCGATCTGAACCAACCCGAACTGATCTGATCCGCTCTGTGACGGTGGAAAAGGGGCATTAAATAGCACCTTCTCAGAGTGGATCAACCAGTTTTGCTGCTGACAACCAAAACCAGCTGCTCACATGGTCAAGAAGGACCATCAGCCTAACAATGGATCATTAGCACACTGATGGCTGTTTACTATTCACAGGAGGCTGAGTGATACTAGCAATAACAGCATTGTAAGAGGGGGACAATTGAACCCGGAGGCCTCCACCCCTGTTTAATGATGGACTGTTTCTTTTCACAAAGATGGCCTCTCTCAAACCATCGTTCCTCTCTATCCAGGATGTGAACATCTTCATCCCTGAAAGAGTGACCGCTGGCCTGGAGATGAGTGTAGACCGCAGAGTCCTGGCCTGAAGTTGTTGCTCTTCTGTGCTGGGCCATCCTTTTGGCCAGTGGCTGTTTAGTTTCCCCGATATAAGACTGATCACAGCCCTCCTGACACTGAACAGCATATACAATATTACTCTGTTTGTGCCGGGGGACTGGATCTTTGGGATGAACCAGTCTTTGCCGTAATGTATTTTGGGAAGCCACTGGGTCGTTGTGTTTAGAAAATAAATGTCTCAGTTTCTCTGATACTCCCTCAACATACAAAATGACCACTGGTCTGGGTTCCTCCTTTTCACCTGATGGCTGACTGGAGTCCTGTTTGGGTTTCTTCTCTGCTTTCAGGAAGGCCCAGTTAGGATATCCACATTGCTCTAGAGCCTGTCTTGTGTTGGATTTCTCCTTCTGACTGGCTCCTGAGCTAGTGGGGACGCAGTCTGCTCTGTGATACAGAGTCCTGATGACTCCTAACTTGTGCTCCAAAGGGTGATGGGACTCAAACTGCAAATACTGGTCTGTGTGGGTGGGTTTGCGGTACACCTCACTTTGCAAACGTCCTCTATCAGAGACCGAGACCTCACAGTCCAAGAAAGCCAATCTGACATTTTTTACATCTTATCGTGTGAACTTGATGTATTTATCCACAGAGTTGATGTGGTCAGTGAAATGTTGGACTTCCTGAGATTTAATTTTAACCCAGGTGTCGTCAACATACCTGAACCAATGACTTGGTGGTGTCCCTGAAAAGGACGTCAAGGATCTCTTTTCTACCTCCTCCATGTACAGGTTGGCAACAATAGGAGAAACTGGAGACCCCATAGCACACCCATGTTTCTGCCTATAATATTGCTCCCCATATGTGAAGTAGGTTGACTGCAGGCACAATTACAAGAGTTGACAGTTCTGTGGAAAGCGTGGTCCTGCTGCTCAGAGTGGTGTCTGATTTTCATCTTAAACTGACCACCTCTACTGCATCATCAACAGGAATGCAGATAAAGAGTGGTGTGACATCAAAAGAGACCATTGTTTCATCAGTCTCCATGATGACATCCCTCACCTTATCCACAAAATCCATGGTGTTCTGTATGTGGTGTTCTGAGCTGCCAACTAAAGGGATGAGTACAGACGCCAGATATTTGGAACGGTCAGTCCCCCTCTTACAATGCTGTTATTGATTTGTTCAATTAGCTTCGTAGAGATCTAGTAGAGTGCTGTATGAATGGGTAAATGAGGACACAGAATTGCAGTGTAAAGCGCTTTGAGTATCTTGAAATAAGATAGAAAGGCGCTATATAAGTACAGTCCATTTACCATTTATTGCTAGTATCACTCAGCCTCCTATGAATAGTAAACAGCCATCGGTGTGCTAATGTTAGGCTGATGGTCCTTCTTGACCATGTGAGCAGCTGGTTTTGTTTGTCAGCAGCAAAACTGGTTGATCCACTCTGAGAAGGTGCTGTTTATAAGACTGAGCTGAATACAGCACCTCAGACTGAGGAAGTCTTTCGGATGGAAGACTAAACATTTCTACATTTTTGTTTGTTTGTTTGTTTTGTTTTTGAATGTCCAGAGGACCAGATTTAACTTTTTTAGATTTTTCTACCTGGATTATTGAGCATGCATCAGGATATTCTCTGATCCGTTTTTAGTTTTTAATTTGACTTTAATTTTTTTTTTTGCCAGGTCTCTCTTGTAAATGAGTCCTCGTGACTCAGTGGGACTAAGCTGTTTAAATAAAGGCTGAATTAATTAATCTGTTATTATTGTAATTTGAGCTACGTTTTAATGTCGATTGTGCAGCACTCTGGTCTGCTGAGGTGTTTGGACTGGACGACGGAGTCAGTAGCAAAGATCTACACAGCACAGTTCTTCCAGAAAATTTGACCTTGATTTGTGGCCTTGATCTTAGAGCTGGGGGGTGCACTTTGTCTAGTAGTGGTACAGACTGTATGATGTGTATGAAGTTTCATTAAAGTGTGTGTTGGGAACAGAAACACTCACATTAGGCTCTGTATCTGCAAAACTGTGCAAGTTCAGAGACTGAGTGTTTGCTCCAAGTCAGGCAGTCATCTTGAACTGGGCAGACTAAAAGTTCATTTGCAGACGTAAACCCAACAACCACTAAGAGTTTCATTAAAACTGTTCAGTGGTTCAAGAGATATTTTGCTAACAACACAAACAGACACGAGTCAAAGCATCACTTCTGTTGTTTAGGCCATCATGGCCGTGCACTGTCGGTGTAAAGGTTCATGAATGAAGACACTGCAGCGTTTTAAGGCGGGATGTGTCCATCTTGGTCTTAGCTGCATCCAGACTAGTCTTTAGCTCGTAGCTCCTGTCAGAAAACTGAGGCTGTTGTAGGAACCAAAATAAAACTTATGCAGAGCTCACTTTAATTTGACAGACGTTTGTTTAAACTGAAGCAGACTGGACACGGTGAACTTGTGTAGTACCTGTCGCTGCGAGTCGTTGAAGTAAGCTGGTACTGTGATCACAGCGTTCTTCACCTTGTTGCCCAGGTAGCCCTCTGCCACACAAAACATATAAATATTTTTCTCCAAGTCTGTTGTGGTCCCGTGAAGAATGCATGAGACTTCATACCTGCAGTCTCCTTCATCTTCATCAGGACGAAGGCTCCAACTTGACTCGGGGAGTACATTTTCCCATGAGCCTCCACCCAGGCGTCGCCATTAGAGGCTCGTGTGATCTTGTAAGGGACGTTCTTCCTGATAACAGAAGTGACAACAAGTTTAAGAGTCCACCACCTTAAAGGAAAACATGGCCCCTGACGAGGTGCAGGTGGACATGGAGTCAACGGAGCAGAAACAGTTCACAGAATCACAGCAAACTAACTGTTTACATGCATCACAATATGAATTCAAAAACAAAAACATTAAATATATTTACTGTAGCTGCCTAAAGCACATACTGCTTAATGATTTTATAAATATATCATATTACTGAATATTTTATTTTCATTTTAATGCACAATTATATATACAGGTCCTTCTCAAAAAATTAGCATATTGTGATAAAGGTCATTATTTTCCATAATGTAATGATAAAAATGAAACTTTCATATATTTCAGATTCATTGCACACCAACTGAAATATTTCAGGTCTTTAATTGTTTTAATACGGATGATTATGGCATACAGCTCATGAAAACCCAAAATGCATGTCTCAAAAAATTAGCATATCATGAAAAGGTTCTCTAAACAAGCTATTAACCTAACCATCTGAATCAACGACGTAACTCTAAACACCTGCAAAAGATTCCTGAGGCTTTTAAAATCTCCCAGCCTTGTTCATTACTCAAAACTGCAATCATGGGTAAGACTGCCGACCTGACTGCTGCCCAGAAGGCCATCATTGACACCCTCAAGCAAGAGGGCAAGACACAGAAAGAAACTGCTGAATGAATAGGCTGTTCCCAGAGTGCTGTATCAAGGCACCTCAGTGGGAAGTCTGTGGGAAGGGAAAAGTGTGGCAGAAAATGCTGCACAACGAGAACAGGTGACCGGACCCTGAGGAGGATTGTGGAGAAGGGCCGATTCCAGA